TCTAACTACGAAGTGGAAGTGATATATGCACAGTAGCTTAGAGCACGTGCCACAACTTCCAACATATAATATGTATAAATAAAAGGATTATTTATTTCTATTTATTCTTTTTATATAAAAAGAGAATTGTTATATTTATATATATGTATTACCCTCATTTATATATTATATATATATATAGGGTAAAGTATAATATGTAATGTTATGTTATTAATCATGTGTTCCGACAGTAATACTTTTCCTATACAAAATAAGCGATTTTTTTGAAAAACTTATAATTCTTATTTTCGATAGCTTATAACTTTATAAATAAAATATTTAAAAATAAACTAGCTTCTTTTATATATAATTGTATTCATTCTAAATCGATTTTGAATTCTTCTTATCATTTTATATGAAGTTTTAGTAAAGAAATAGAGACTTTAAAAGCTGAAAAATTAATGATTGATTTGGAAATTGAGGATTTCATTTCGGTCCTGTAGAGTCTATTCCTAATAAGATATATAGTACTCTTCTCAAGAAAATAAAGAAGAGAAAAAGAAGAGAAAAAGAAGAGAAAAAGAAGAGAAAAAGAAGAGAAAAAGAAGAGAAAAGGAGGTAGTCTAGATAGCTAAATAGAATGTATAGAGGTGGAAGGGTTACAAATTGACAGCCTTTCTAAATGGCTCGTTAATTTCTCTCTCTCACTTCGATATCGTTCTATCAACTATTCAACTCAAGTAGCCTTGAAGAAAGCTAGATACCATTCACCAAAAATAGTCACACATTGCAGAGTTAAAGAATGAGCAGAACCTTGGACAGAAAAGTAAAATAAATCTTCATTCTCCTTTTCCACTTTTCTGCTCCGCGGCTCGTTCACCCTGCTTGCTTCTCTATGGGATGTAGAAATCCTAGTCCGCTCGAGTTGCTTCGATATTGATCTGGTTATGGTCGGACATTATGTATAGATGTCTGCTCGAGATCTACAATCCTGGGAGGTGGTGGTGGTGGTGAGTGTGAGTATGACGATTTTGAATACACAGATTGTATTTATCGATATTTGGAGAGCTGGATGGGATTTTCGGGCAGTGGGTGTGAGATGCGAAAAGGTTGTGTGCGGATGAGGACGAGTGAATACTTGCTTTGAGTTGAGTTGAGTTGTAAGGATATAGGAGATGGAATTTTAATGAGAGGTTGTTTGCTGGGGGAGAGGAGGGGGGGGGGGGACCGATTTAAGCTGTTGAGTATTAGGCGGGTGTTGAGTAGAGTGAGATGAAGGGAGATGGAATATAATATGATTTCTCGGTATAGAAAATAGATTTGGATTCTTAACCTTATCATTGGATCGAAATTTTGGATCGAATGGTCTGCGTATAATATAATGCGGGTAATGTGGTAGGAGATGATTAGTGGTTTGGAGATATACTTGGTATGCGCACAACATTCTGTTGATTGATCTTTCTTGTTAGTTTTGCAGTTTAATTTTTCGTTAGGTATACAAGATGAGATAGAAGACTTATCGGATTCCATAAATCCGGTTCAGGGATGGGAATGAAGTACACAACATTTGCATTTAAAGAATAAAACTTATTCCAACTGTATATTGACCAATTATGACAAGTGATGAAACGTCCCAGAAGGAATGACGAAGATACACAAACAAGTAACACTTAAACCAAATCTCAAAAAATAGCAATTGCGTTTCCATGACTGGATACACCCCCCTGACAATGATTCGGAGCACTAGTAACAAAGAAGCTCCATCTTCCCTTCTCTCTACACGTCTTTGCCAACTTCTCCAAATCGAACATTTCTCCTAGAGGCATACCCCACATGGCAAGTATATATTCATGTAACATATAATGCTCTTGGGATGGCCAAGCCTCAAAAGTAGGCGAATCACCTGCTACAGCCGAAAAGTAACAATCATGCAACCAATCAAGCATATCCTCATCTTGTTTAAGACCGGCCCACCTCTGACCATCGTCAGGTCCAATTCCATGTGGTCTGAGAGCAGCAGCTTTTCGTGCTTCTGGTGATTTGCTGTGGTATGTAGATACGAAGCCTGAACGAATGAAGAGCAGATCTCCGATTTGAATATTTCCGCCTTGAGAAGCGGGACGGATATCAATACCTTGGGCTTTGCCGGCAGCTTGCAATTCAGCGTAGGATATAGTGTGGTAGTCAAATGGATCTACATATCTGTGTCAGAAAACTGAATGATACAAATTTAATGGTGGGTGATTACCATAGACAATACCGTTCTCCTTTGCATAAGTCCAGTAGTCAATTAAGATGCCGCGACCAACTATCCCATGCTCAGCCCAATGATGAATTCCGCATTTATTATCATCCTTCTCAGCTCCAATTATATCCTTCTCTTTAGTCCCATTATAAAAGTTGCCTGTAGGCATGTGTGCAATATGCCTGAACCCATCCCATTGTGTACCTGATTGTGTGTTTAATGAATATACATCATCATAAGCCAACCCAGGAGCTAGCTCTTTAATGCTATGTTGAAATTGTTCTCGATGAAAGGCTGGGACTTCTGGTACATTCAAAGGGAGGTTCAATGGAACGATCTCCCCGCTTTGAATTTCATTGGATGCGGCAGTAACTCGAGTTGGTGTGAGAAGATTTAATCTTCCAATCTGTGTAATTGTTTAACGATATTGAAAGTTTGAAAGTCAGAATTACGTACATAATCATCAGGTCCCCAAACCCATGCACTTTTAGACGTTAGTTGAGCTTCTAGAAATCATACATGCTACTTACGCTCCTTCTGGTGCATCCTCTCTGCGTGGAACATCCTTTCTATTGGGAAACTTGGTGGAATTAGGGTCGAATGGAATCGTCGTGGCAGTCTTGTTGCCGGTTAAGAAATCGGTGACTTGAGTGAGTCGGCTATTAACTTTGGATTGCATATCTGACATTTTCGAATGGTAATTGTGGTCTTGAACCCTTTTTTTTGTGAGTAAAGGAAGATCTGAAGTTCACGAGGTTTCACACCTCAAGCTTCCAATTTACCGGTCTGTTGATAGAGCGGGGGCGGGGAAGTACTAGCTCCCTTCATCCCGAGGCAAATTTGAGTTCGACATTGTATTCAGCAAAAGCCGGTCATAGTTAGTTAATAAGAAGGTTAGTAGTCTGAAGTAATTTGTGATGGCAGATATCAGATATCAGATAGCAGGTAGCAAATGCAAATGCAAATTATTAACATTTGGAACATATCAAGGAACCACCAGAACCTTTTGTTTTGATGCCAATATGTGCCTTGGAAACCTGGGGATACATTGTTGGAAACACGCTGTATTTCATAAAAGGAGCAACGATGACAATATCCATCTTGCTGGTATTTTCTGTAGACATCCACCAGATCTTGAGAGTGTCTCGAGTGTCTCGAGTGTGTATCGCATAGTAGAAGAGTTTCAATTATTCTATGTGAGAGATATATAATACGGTGACCGAAGAAGAATCATCTCACCATCCGCCAAAATAGGTTTGATTTTCATAAGACCTTGTCGTCAAAATTCAATCAACCCTTCTCTCATTATGCCTCCAACTCCAAGTCCTGAAAATCTTCTAGAACAACACAATGGAACCCCAGAAATCAATTCCACATCTCGAAAACCTGGTCGTCCTCCTGGCGTGAGTTTGGAACCATACAAAGATCTTATAGTCAAACTTTTCGCCGAGGAAAATACTCCAATCATCGATATTACAAGAAAGCTCAATCGAGAATTAGGTCTAGATGTCTCGGAACGTAAAGTCTCTCGAAGTTTGGCAGCATGGAATATTCGCAAAAGAAATCGTGGGCCCATCCCTCAGGCTCTCCAAGATCGTTTAACTTATCATTACAATTCGAATCTCAATGATGATCAAATAACTCAAGCTTTGATCTCCGAAGGGTTCGAAATCAAAAGATCGAATTTGGGCCGCTTACGACAAAAACTCGGTATGCGACGAAGGTCTCGTTATTCTGAATTTCGCGAATACTCAGAAGGTCCCGCAGTTATCAATACTCCATCGTCTCAATCACCTTCCACAATTACACCCAAACCAAACAATACCAAGCCAAATATGGCACCAAATGCTGGTCTAATTGTGCAGGTTACAGCTTTTGTCGAGAAATATATGAGCGCATATGATGGATCTCACGATTTCAACCACATTCGACGCGTTGTTGGGTTGGCGCATAGAATATACAAGGAGCTGAAGGCGGAGAGGATAGGCGGCCTAGAGTTAGATCTACAGGTTGTCACTTTGGCAGCACTTTTGCATGATGTAGGCGACAAGAAGTATCTCTTACCTGGACAGGATCCAAATACTTTGGTGCTGTCCACACTATTGAGTTTTGGGGCCGAAGAAAAGTTGGCTGTCAAAGTACAGAGAATCGTTCTCGGAGTTTCGTATTCGAGTGAAATCAAGGATATGGCATCAGTGAGAGGCATGATCGAGAAATATCCAGAGCTGGCTGTAGTCCAAGATGCTGACCGGCTCGATGCTATTGGTAAGGCTGTATTCCAGGAATTGAAACGATCAGAAGATGAAGCTAACTTTTGTCTTACTTCAGGCGCGATCGGAATTGGAAGAACATTCACATTCGGTGGAGCAAAAGGTGCAAGGGATATGGGAGAGACCATTCAACATTTCGAAGACAAGTTGGAGAAACTAGGAGGAATGATGAAGACAGCTCCAGGCAAACGAATGGCGGAAGAGAGAACCAAAAGATTGACAACGTTCAAGGACTGGTGGGAAGAGGAACAACAGGAAGCTGAAGGTTTACTGCGACCTCAGTCCTAACCTTGATTCTACAAACCTTGATGGGTACTTGGAAAACAACTCTTCGATGCGGAGAAACATGATTGGATCTACAGTACAATGAGCTTAAGTCATTTGCTTCATTGTCATCTGCTTCCCATCATGGTGTCTGTATTCAATGTTTATATTCAAAATACAATGGCTCCTCGCCATTTCCACCTAGATTCTTTGAACTTTCTGTTCTATTCATACTGTTGAAGATGGATAGCATGGCACCGGAACTCCTCAAGCATATACTCAGTTATCTTCCCATATCATCACTTCGCTCGCGTTGCCTTGTCGACCGTATTTCCTCCATCATTGCCTTCTCCCTTCTATTTTCACATATACCGCATTCGCTGGATTGCAACAAGTCACTTCAATATCTTGTATCTATTATCCACGATGCATTCGATAGACCTGCAGTCATCTGGTCTCCATTGGCAACAATTCCTGATGTGTGTGTCGATGCAATATGGTTACAAATTGTCTGGAAGTTATTTCAGGGATCCGATTTCCATGACAGAGTAAGAGGAGAGGAGTTGACGGCGGAAACACTTTGCCAGACTAAGTGGAGTAGTCGACATAAGTGAGGCGAGATTAAGGACCGCTCAATGTAGATATTTACTTTTCAAATCTTACACAAAAAAGTCTGTACTTAAACATTGATGGGAGGACACGACCTGTTCCTTGACACATCCATTAATTGTCGTGCTCAAGGTTAGGATGGTTTTCTGGGGAATTGGTTTGGGAACACGATCTTTCAGATCAAGAAAATGTTCCCAGGAACGATGGATCTCTAGGCTAAGAAGTTTCTCGGTTTACAGCCGTGTGCAATCTTCGGATGCTCCTTCCATCATTAGTCCGTAAATCGTATACAGATCCTTCCCGTATCCACATTGCTGAGATTGGAATTTACTCCGACAACGATCCCTGACAAGAAGCCATTCCCTCAGTGCGCATGTTGTCCAAATCAAGTAAGGTCCTTTCTCTCTCTACGAATCCATATATCGATGTGAAGACACGAAGCTTTGGTGGAGGTCTTGGCATTTGGCTTCAAATACCCCGCCATCAAACGTCAAAATGACAATTTGTGTGTATGTCTGTCTCACTTATCACTTAAGAGTTTTGGTCCATCGGGATTCTCAAACGTCGATACCTCCCACATGCTCAATTGCTCCTCGAGATCTGTTTGTGATTCACCAGGATTTGTTTTTTGACTTCAATATATTGGTTGATTTCACTTCAATATATTAATCATCTCGATTATTTCTTTGGCTCAGGGTTGTTTCCAAGGAAATATCTTTCTTTTGCCAGTATCTTCTTTTCCCGTGGTTACTTTCATTTCCCCTCACGCATCAATTCCACAACGCACCAATCTGATGCAACGATTTATCCAAATTCTAACGTTTTCAAGCAAGGCTGATAAGTATGTATGTCACCTCGGCATGCAGAATATTTCATGTGCAATGTATTTGCATTCGATACCTAGTCAGACCCAGGTGCGTGCGAGAAAATCCCTGATGAATTTTTCTTTTTGCAGTTGAACAAACCATTTAGCCAAGTTCTGATTGGGGCAAGTCAAGATGACTCACAATTTCAACAATCAATATGGATAATGTACTTTATCGGGAAGCAAGGGTCAAACAAACATCAAGGGCTAAACGGTCATGCTTGCTTTATTGGTCAAGGATTATTTTATCTCTTTCGGATGATCTACTGGTTCATGATGCTATCTCTGATGTGAGAACCTAGTTCCCTTTTAACATTATTCCTTCTTCTGGGGTTCCAGCCCGTCCGGGGTCATAATTAGGGTAGTATTTTCCGGTGATTAAAGCACATATTCACACAATTGTCGATATATTAATGTAATTGAAATCGGTAAAGAAAAAGGCTGGAGAGAAGTTAGTACAAGTATGTCTACCCAAGGAGATGCAAAGTTGCAATTACTAGGTAGGTAGGTGGTAGATGTATTGCTATTTACCTAGTTCGTTCAATAGTCAAATTCTTATCAATCGCGTGGACCTAGATGTATGTCTAAAGAGATCTATCACGCTACCACATGCCGTTTGAGGGCTGGATTGCACGTTATAATCTACAATTTACAACTTGTTACTCGAGTATTTACTACTTAGTACCTCTTAGGCACGGCAAATTTTGCTACAGGGAATAGCTTTCCGCCACTCGACGTATCAACGGTGATAGACCTCTTTTCTGTATTGAGGCCGAGGAAGATCAACAAAAATCACTCAGATCATTGGTTTCCGAGTAAGTGCTCATCGATGCCATTTGTGCACAGAACTCCGCTCGGACTACAACACTAAAAGGTAATCATCTGCAGGTAATTACATATCCTCGTTGAACCTGTAAGATAAAGCTGGTCCCCTTCTCTTTTGAGTTCACAGTAAAGTTACATCGCAAATCAAAAACTTCAACTTTAATTTCAATCTTTAACTTCAGTCTCTAACTCCATAACACTTTACTTGAATAACACATTTCTTGTTTCAAAGCAATCTTCAACACCAAAATGCAATTCACATACGCTGCCATTTCTGCCCTCCTTGCCTCAGTGGCGTACTCCCAGAGTATCGCTAGTGAAGTGGCACAACTCCCATCTTGTGCCCTTGCCTGTTTGTCAACAGCTTCCAGTGGTGCTGGATGTAGTATTGCCGACTTTGCTTGTCAATGTGGTGATGCTAAAGATGCTATCACTAAATCTGCGACTCCATGTATCGCAGCTGGATGCTCTGCCTCTGATGCTTTGAGTAAGTCTTCAAAATTTTCATATAGTTGTAGCATATCCTAACAAATATAACAGACACTCAAAAAATCACAACCGAAATCTGTGCTCTCCAAGCAGCTGCTGGTTCATCAGGTTCTTCAGCCGCCGCCTCTTCGACTCAAGCATCATCTTCATCTTCAACCGATTCAGCTTCTTCATCGGCAATTAGCAACATTTCTTCAGCAGGTAGCTCTATCGCTAGCGCCACTGGCGCGGCTTCTTCAAGTGTATCTTCAATTCTATCATCCGCTTCCTCTGCTATTTCTTCAGCTTCTTCTTCAGCTTCTTCTGCTTCTGCTACAGTTTCTACTGCTGCAGGAAGTAGAGTTAATGCTGCTGGAGCCATTGTTGGAGCTGGTTTCTTAGCCGCTTTTGCTTTGTAAGCAGTCTGGCTCGTATGATGGAGATATCATGATACGGCAAAATTATATATGTAATTAGACTGGAATGAGATCATTGAGATGGGAGATGGAGATTATGCATATATCAAGATAAATAATGTGTTTCGATTCTTTACACAACTTTGCTTGGTGGGGGGGAGGAAAATGGAAAAAAGCTTGGTTGCTGGACTTCTTATCAAAATAAATTTCTAATGAATAACGCATTATTGCTGTTCAATCCCTTCAGCAATATTTGACTTAAGACATAATGATATCAATTGAACCAAATTATATTCGATAAAATCACAACAAATCAATTCAGTTCAATTACCAATACATAATTGTGAAATAAACTCGACTCAAATCGTATCACGTCAAAAAAAAATCTCGCAAGCTTGAAAGTCCAGATGGGAGATCCTTAAGGCTACCTAGGGTATCTACCTTTCGCATCGGCACTTCACCACTTGACGTGGAAAAATACTTGGATGGGAAGTTCCTCTTACGAAAAAGTATATCGAGAATGTGCCTGTGCCAAGCGGGCACGGCGGGTTTGGTAGGGACTAAACTGAGGTGGATTTTGTTGGTGCGTGGGCTAGAGTATAGAGGGAGGCGGGTTTTGGAGTTTATTTTGTTGGTTGGTGGTGTTGAGGTTAGCTAGTAAGGATTAGGAGTAGAGTTGGTAGAGTTAGTACAGGAACGCTGGGACCGTGGGTTGTGGATCGGAATGGGAAGGGGAATGGGAATTGGGGACATAGCACACGGGCTTTTGGATTGGGATGGGGGGGGTGGTCATGACTCGTGTGCGTGAGTGGGTGGAGGGGAGGAGAGAGGGGCACGTGAGGGGGTAGGGAGGAGAGAGGGAGGGGTAATTGGAAATATGGATGGAGGGATGGAGATATAGGGAATAAGAGTTTGCTTGGAGTGGTGGATTAGGGTAGGCTGGTAGGTTCGAGGTAGGCTCATAAGGTAAGTGAGTGATGGAAGTGTATGTATCTACCATATGTATTGGGTGAATTACCGATACCGAGGATAATCCGTGATTGAGGGAAAAGGGAAGAGGAAGAATTTTTTGCGTAGAGATGAATGTTAGCTACATAGCTATTTTGTTTTTTATCGATTGTAGAATAAGTACCTCACTTGGAGAAAATAGAGTAGGATTTTGATGGGTGAGATGTATGAGATGTTTTGCTGTGTATTTGATGAGGTCATTACAATATGGTTTGTGGAAGCGTTGCTGTGTGTCAGGCCAGGGTTTTTATATCCGCATCGACATCTCTACTATGCAATTTCCATATAGGCATGTAGAAGGAGGAGTAGATTGTTTATTTCACTCCTTTTCCTGGACCTCAGAAGAGTGAAATTGTTAAGATGTGAATGAGAATGAAAAATAATCGGGGATGCTATTCCCTCGTACCCTCTCTTCTCTTCTCAAAAGCAATGTGTATCTTCTTCAACTAGAGCTCCTTTTCTCTTGTATCTGATATAATGGTGATTGACATTTAACTAGATAGAAGCTATTACATGATCCATTCTCATTCATGAATCCATTCATCACAGGTTTTAGTACTACTCTTTCAACTTGATATCACAGAACTTCCATTTGTACTTTCTTCAGATTCCACATTCGGGGTGGAATTTACTCTTTAATAAAAGTTTGTGGTGTAAGATATGTATGATGTTGGTATGATGTATAATGGGTACGCAGTGTTCGTGTTGTGATTATGTGATTTGTAGATTTGTGTTAATCGTATGCAAAATGATATCTAGATTCTTTAAAGTATATCTTCATCAAAAGCACACCCTCGAAAAATTGTCATCATTATTATATCCCTACTTTCATACCTTGATTTCCTCGCTAATATAACTCCTTCTCTATTGTAAATTTCATATCTCATATTTGATTACTTGAAAGTTGGAAAACCCAAATCATTCAAATACACAAGTCTCGAACAAGATTTCCCAATCTCATTATGTTAAATTTGGTTGAGATGTATATGTATGTTTTTACGTACAGTAAAAGTATTCTAAACTCCTTGTCAAGCTTTGATGAGAGATTTCTGGTGGAGGGAAATTACTATCTCCAGGGACCACGGAGGGTAAAAAAGTCTGTACTTGTGAAATCTTCTAGTTACTTATAAGTGAGATTGAAGGGGAAGTCGGAGGAATCTTACAGTCAATCACTGTAAGGTAAAGATTATAAGCTCTGAAATAGGGAGCTAGACTACAAAGATGAGTTTTCTCGATGTCTGGAGGAGCCCTTTGTTCGCTTCTCGCTAAGACTTCTCCCTTTTCTCGTGGATATTTAAATTCTATCGTCTATATACTTTTTCTGCCAAATGATAACTTATACAGTAAATATTCAAATTTGATCAAAGCATCTAAAATGGTGTCAATTGCAGCATCTAAACCCTAACACCTATTCTAACCTTCCTTGTCCCTCAACATATAAACAATGAAAGTCGTAAATATACAAAACAAAAGTCTAAATCTAATCTGCGCTGCCAAAATTCTAGACTAATAAATTCAGAACAAAAATAATAGGATCTACCTGGAAATAAAGTGATCCTCGACTCCAACACTCATTCTATAAATCTCCTCGTTCTAGCCCAAATGACTTTCAATCGTTCCTCGACCAGCAATGCAATCCTCGAAAATCCAGCAAAAAGAAGATTGCTGTTAACACAAAAAAGAAACAGCGCCGATGGTAAGGAATAGTAGTGTATACATAGAAGGAAGTGCGTAATTCGAACCGGCGGAAATTTTTACTGGCCTATATGGAGCGAGTTAATAACATATTTGTTTGCACGATTTACTCATTTGATCAAGAAGCATGGCAGTATTTCAACGACTGAGACTCAAGATTTTGGCTCTCGTTCCTATACTACTTTTAATAAACATGAGATGCATTTAAAAGTCCTTCTTACAAGCCATTCAATGTGTTCTGTGCTTCTATAGCATTGCCTGTGCTTGTGTTAGTATAGACATTTTATATGGATGCATGGGGGCTCTCACCAACGTCGAAGAAATCCAGGAGCATTACTCGCGGTTTTCGACCCCAAGTTGAGGTACAGAGGTCGGCTTGGGCTCCAATACTACCCACACCTGTTGCCGCATTCTATATCCAAGTCAATAGCTGGTCATCGTAGTAGCTTGCAAAAACTGTTCCTTACTGTCTTTTTGGCTTCCAGTCTATTTGGCATGAGAATACCAAAGACATCAATATCCAAGTAGTGGTTTATCAACGGCAAAAGTCCATCTCCATTCGATCCTGGGGGACGATCGAGTGTACATGTTGGAAATGTAGGAGTAGTTACATCATACGCAGTTTCGAAAAAGTAAGAAAACTCGGGTAGAATGTATGCAGCTACATTCGTATCCGCATCGTAGTCTTGAATACTGTTAAATAACTTTTCATTTGTGAAAATGGGTAAGGCTGACCACTCACCGAGGAACATAACAAGTCTATCTCCAGCCGTGATCAGTTCTTGAAGTGTAGGCCATTCATCTATCGCTAACTGATGTGGTGGTGTATATGCATATTTTGCTAGACCAGACACTTCCATCGCTGAACTGAAATTCCCGACAGGAATATAATCTCCATTCGTAAGTAGTAAGGTTACAACTTCATTAGGATTTGCATCAAGCCACTTCTTGATATCCTCTAGATAATAAACAGCTGGCCCAGCATCTGCATTCAAAACAGGGCTTATTAGTTATTTCTCATGGGAATGCTCAAAAGGAAGGTACAGGATCAAGAATGCAATTGGATTTCAAAAGTATCCCATCTAAAGGAATTGAAAGCAAGAGGCCAAGGTCGGGAAAAGAAGTTGCAATTAGAACTGACCTAGCAAAAAGCATGAAGTATGACACAACGTCAATGTATCGAGAAAATAATGAGTCTGGGCTTGAAGGAATCGAACACCAGCATTCAGTTGAGCTGTGACATCGAGATTCTGGTTTTCTGCTGGTAATTCTCCCACAAATGCGCTATCGTGTGTTCCTACTTGGGATATCTCTGACCATTTACGATCACAGAGCTCGGCATAACCATTGCAGACTTGTGCCACGGTGACTGACACGCACATCCCGATATAGAAAAGTATGAGACGCATCTTGTGGTGATTATCCTTGCTTGCTGAGACAAGTATGAAGATCAAAACTGGAGAGAAATCTACGACCTTTATAACATCGATATTATCGATGTCCAATGTAGCACACATTCACATATGATCCCCCACATAGATTGTGAATGGTTTGTAGTTCCCTTTGGTAGATCATCGGGCCGAGTCATCTCGACCAAACACTCAGTGTGTGTCGTACAGACTTTGTCTATAAACACACACCTTGAAGATACCTTGCAATGGAATAACGAGTTAGCTAGTGACGGCCGCCCAGATAAATGTGGTGCGATCGGAAATTCATCCCCTGACGGAAGTTGGCGTTGAATTAACCAATCGTGGGCTTGGCAACTTGCCCGTGGTAAGGTCCTGGGATACAACACAACATGTAAGTCTTACCATCTGCCGGTGCGGGGTTAGCGCGTATTTCAAGGAACCAGATTCTTTTATATGTTGCATCGCATATGGAGGTCTTATCTAAAGATCGAAGTCTCCAATTGTCTCGTATTTTATGTTATGCGATTGTTGTCCCATGTATGCAGATACGCCCAATTTCAGGACCAACTTCAGGAGAAAGTTATAAGTCAGCCAGCCATTTTAAGGTTACAAATTCTTGATAAAAGCAGTGATGACCGAACTCATATAGCACGGTTCGCATGTGATGAAGTGAAGGGAGCACAGAAGATCTCGGGTTCGCCTCACGTTCCGACTCGCTTACATAAGGTTAAACTATAAGTTTGCGTGATCGGTACAAGGTACCTGATTATACTTTATTTGAAGGTTCAACAACATCATATATAAGTCTTTAAATCGATTCAATGCTGAACAATCGTTTGGTGGGAGTCAAAAGCTGCGAGGATTTGAACTAAAGTTAGTCCGTGCCTCAAAGGATGGAGTGCTTTTCAGGGACCCATGAAAGTCACGATCTTTTGCGTTTGGGGATGTCATCTGACAGCATGGTAGGACTTATGTTGAGTCTAAATTTGCTTAATCATATCGTTCTGATACCTTTATGCTTCATTTCAAGCTTGCTTTTCTCTAACTTTCATTCATAAGACAGAGCCATGAGCGAAAAAAAATACATTTAGCGTTCATATACCAGCGCCGGCAGTCTCTCCTCCAAAGGCCGAAATTCTTCTCTTCTTTACCCTCGCTGTCATTCTTAATAGTTGCTACCGATCATTCGTTCATGAAGGAAAAGGAGAGAAAGCAGGATAGAATGAGCTAGGCCCCTGATGCAGAATCGCAATCAGATTCTCACCGGAAAGAAATCAAAATTAGCAAGCAGGTTCTACCATTTCAGTATTTGTACGCAATCTCTCTTTCATGTTGATTTCGACCGCAACTTTCTGCCGCTCCACTCCTATTCTCCTATTTGACTTTTCTCAACTCCTCCCGCCTCTTGTTTTTGTTGTGTCTTATGTCATGTGGTCGTTCACACAATAAGATATTGCGTATTGCAAATGAAGTCCATGAAAACGGTGGTAAAAATGGGATGAAAAAAGCATGGTGGAAGCTATGATTATTAACTCATTTTTCCATTGATGCATTGGGTAAATCATTGATGTTTCTGTGGCAAGCGAGCCTCAACTCACATGATAATCGGAATATGCAACATTCTGGGATATCAGGGTCCTTTTTACAATTCTGTTTAGGATTAGTTCCAATCTACTGCAGACGTAATTACAAATTGTATATCTTGAGTATTGATTTGAAGCTACTCTACGCTCACTTCGATCACATTTTCTGGGTTTCACGATCAGCTGACATCCTATTCTTCCCCTTGCTGCATTAGTTCTTTTCATAATCCTTTTCATTTTCAACCCTCCTTGAAACCTCAGCTCTTGAAAGTTCTCATCACTTCATAAATTTCTGTAAAAACCAGCTATTTGTAGCGAAGTTCGTGTTATGGTAAAGGAAAGCCCAGGTCCAAAAATATGATGACGAAGATGGTATTGAGCCTAGTATAGTAATCTTACCTGTATTCCAATGTAGTAATGAATACTTTGATAGAAGAAATATAGTGAAAGCCATTTGATATTGACTCGCTTATTTACTTTTGTAATGTCCAAACATCATGTAACTTTCAACAACCTTCATCACCTTTGAGGTTTTTTGTTATATTGTTCATATTCTAATTGAAGTTCATATTTCATTTTTTCTTATTGGTGGAAGAACAAGAAGTTCAAGGATTGACTTCTGTGCCTTTGAAGTATAAGCTTCTTTTGGGAATATATCAGAGATGAAAATGAATTCAACTATTAAAGGCATCTATATAAGCTAAGAGATGATTAGATACTGTCTTGTTTTGATTATCATCATTATCAATTTCTTTCATATCATTGTCGCCTAAATCACTCTCCTCCCCCTTCTACTGGTCAACTCTGAGGAGAACGAGAGAGGAGGACATCTGAAGATTACCTCTTCGCTCTCGATCAAACTTCCCAGCACGTCCCCGCTCCTTAAAGAAAGTTGAAGGATCTAAAGTCGACCAGAAGATGGAGTGCAAGGAGAGTCAGAGATAAAGGGGGCTGAGAGGGAGCGGGGACTTGGAGCGTAGGTCCTTACCTAGAATTGATAACAATAATGAATGCCAAAGTAGAAACAATAGCGAAGAAGATCTGAAACCAAAATGTTATTTAAACCACACCACTTTCATACATCTTACATATAAAACTTGATTCCCAAACTTATAGTTCTCATCTGCTCTTACTTCTTCACTTCCCGAGCTATAATCTATGACTACCACATAGCAAAGCCATATGCTTGACTACATACAACTAAATGAAACCATACTGTAACAATGAACAGCTTCGAGCATGCCCCATCAACTTCATCAACTTTCCCACCTGCTTAGTCGTTATGCCGACTAAGCAAGTCCACTAAGCAGATGAATTCAAGTCATGCTTTTTTCACCTCTTGTTTATTTGTTTTTATTAAAGCTGGGGTATCTTTTGTTATTTAAACAACTTTGTTCAACAAAAAAGTTGGAGAAGACCAACTCAATTCAACAACAACGATCTCAATGAATTTCTTCGCCATGCGCTGCTTTCCTTTGAGGAAGAACCAACTTCTCATTCCCAATCGAATTGAATCTGTTACAACTTACTCTTCTTTACCTATCACCTTACAACCCACATCTCTTGCAATGGCAATTGTTTCTGAGAATCCCACCGCGACCAATCTTGTCAGTGCGATGTCTCCATATGAGGATTTACACCAAGCAAAGGCGATAGACAAGAAGGAAATTCTCCCAACAGAGGTAAGTTTATCAAAAAGTACTCCAATCGCTTGGCGCATTAGTGGCATTATAATTATTACTGCTGACTTAAGATAATACAGCAAGAAGATGCGCCATCTTGTCTCCAACTGGGCTCTCTTGCACGCTTGATTGGAACCATCAAACTCAAGGTAAGTCCTTTGAAAGAGGAATCAATCAACTGGAGTATTACCGATTAGGTAAAAATCACTTTTACTGATCTCAAGATATAGAAAGAGCTTCAAAAACCATCCTCTCCTCCAGTCGGCCTTGACGCACTCTTACTTGAGCCTGTTGGAAGTGCTAAACAAGATGCAGAGTCTGATGTAAGTACTTATTTGATTTCTAGAATGATCTTGTGCAATACCTTAAAGTCTCACCTTTGCTGACTCTATAAATATATAGAACGAAACTCAAGTCGCGCACCCTGCCAAATTCCTAATACTCGTTCCCCTCCTCAAAACACCCAGAATCAAGGGCATTCGGTGCGAAGGCGAGCATTACCATTATTATGGCATTACTTCCCCAGACGTTATTGTAGCAGAAGCTACAAAGTTTATATCTGAAAACAGCAGTGTTTTCCGATGGTCTGTCAAGAAAACACTTGCTAAGTTCCTTGCTCTCACCATCCAGGACTCCAAAGATGGCTGTCAAGTCAATCCCGAAGCTGTATGGTTCGTAGTAAGAATGACGCAAAAGTCAGACGAATTTGTCATCCCTCGCTGGCACAGAGACGGTCACATGATAGAATGTACCGACGCAAATCACGCCTTGCATTGCAGATACGCGACTACTTTGTTGGGACCTACAACTCTTGTTCTCCAAGAGATAGAGGTGGTCACACAGGGAATGAAACAACATGTCGGAAAGAGAAAGGAGACGGCCAACGCGCTTGCGGGAGAAAAACCTCTTGAAATCACTCGTGGTCAAATCATTCGCTTTTCTTGGGGTCAACAAGATAGTCCTGTTCACTCGGAGCCAGATCTTGTCGCTGAAAGAGTGTTCATTTCCTGTATTTATGGAAGTATGAGCGAGATCAAAGACATTGCTGCCACTCGCAGACAAATGATTGGCGATCTCCAGGCTCAATTCAGGAACGAGTAAACCCAGTTTGAGGAGATAGTCTAGTGCATGTTATGCAAAATCTGTGTTCAACTGCATTACGAATTCGCGGTACAAGTGGCTATCAAGTCGATGTACACTCTGGTAAGGTTTAACCTCGGTTTTTGTTTCGATATAAGAGCTAACATCATTAGGAATCAGCAGGAACCCTTGCATAACTTGCCTTGTATTAGCTCATCTAGCAGGAGAAGTGCAACGAAGGACGTTTATACTGGTGTTTGAATTGGAGTTCTGATCTTTGAATTATACGATGGATACCCTCTTTTTCTTCCTTTGGCGATCATGACACCGGACATTTGTGATATTTGGATGGCTGGATGGATATTTGAATCGTCGTGAGTGGATGGATAGTTGGACGGACGAGAAATTTGGTTGGTCACAGACGGAATGAACAAACCCTGTGGTGGCAAAGTTAATATTATAGACGAAGAGAAATTCAGTATAAATCCCTATATAAATTTCTATTGTATACATGACGATATTAATCTCTCTTTCGTTATTAACAAAACATTGATTTCGTTAGTGATGAATATTATCGATACGAAATGCAACCCATTTATTATTACATTTTTAATAGAAAAAGAGAAAATAAGGGCCCTTAAGATTCCAAGATCTTCCAATATTAGAGTTGTAGGAAAGGTGGACGGAAGAGTGTGTGCGTAGAGGCTAGGAGGAGGTTGTAGCGGCGAATAGGAGCTAAGGAAGAGGAAGGGGAGCGAGCGTAGGGACTAGAATGAATGAAAGGCATTAGTCGAAAGTCTAAAGGGGGGTCCGTTCATCAACCGCCATACTTCACCTTCGATTTGTTCTTCAATCAGAAGCTTTACCACTATACCATCCACACAATACAGAATGTATTAGATAAGTAATCTGATTTTAATACAAGTAGACCTTTTTATTTGAAAGTGATTGCCTTAGGCTAAAAGTTAGAATTAGCTTTCGAAATTCAAGAAATTCATTAAGATCCTATTGATTAAAATAAGCTTCATAAATTACAAAGATTTAGATTAATCATATTAATACTTTAAAAACGATTTATTCAATATATAATTAAAGGATTGAAGAATTTATTGCAATGACGAAGAGTTCACTTCATCAAGCACTGATTCTGTCACTATAGGGAAAGGGTTCCTTATGAATAGTAGAAGTAACAAGTAGTATCCAGACACTCTAGGTCGATAGCAATGTTAATATTGAAGGTCTTTGATGTCTCTAGAGGTAATCGACTTCCAGATTGGGTTGACAGCCTGATATCTATCTACTCAAATGGGTGGTATCTTGGACTATAATAACCTGAAATCATATCTGTCATTCTTGGGCTTTAAACTTTCAATAATACATGTGATATTCTGGCTATCGCATACTATTCTAGGTCAATAGTTGAGATGCCAGATTTTGAGTTCCAAGATTCTCTGTGTATATATCAACTAATTCTGATTGATGATTCGACTCTAGGAATGGTCATTCAGGTAAGTTATTTTGTGGTGTTGTGATCACCTGTTGTAAGGTTATTACCATGGGGCGCTTATTAGGTAAGGTTAGTGAGTGGCTGATGCTCTGGTTGCATTTCCAATCATCTTCCTTACTACCAATCGTCCTTGAGCCTGGTAAGCCGTTGTATCAATATAGCGTCCCAGATAGTAGCTGGTTCTGACTCTTCACTATTCAGGCAGAAAGCAATGCGAATGAAGTCATCCATTGAAATTATGTTCTGCTCGACGATTTATCATCAACTTGCCATTCCCTGCTTGCTTGGCACAAAGTCCTCCGCAATGACGTGAGTGATAAATATCTCCTTCAACACAAAAAGGGTTCAATTTCTCTACACAAAACATACATATACAATATGTCAATCGGTGTTGCTATCGTTGGTTCCGGCATTTTTGCTCAGACTGAGCATCTGGTATAAGCTTACTCAGTCCATTCAATGTCTTAAGGTTACCTATAGATAACTAATCTTGCACTCTAGCCAGCTATCCAAGCTACCCCTCATTTGTCCCTCAGAGCTATTTACTCCCGTTCTCTCAAATCTGCGCAATCACTCAACGTCGATGTTCCTCTCTATTCCGATGATTCGGGTGTTGGAAATACATACTACGATCTTCTTCTTCGTGCCGATGTTCACGCCGTCATAATCGCCCTCCCAATTCTCGCTCAACCCGAATACATTGAAGCAGCTCTCGCAGCGGGCAAGCATGTATTGTCAGAGAAGCCAATTGCAGGAGACTTGGACAAAGCACAACGCTTGTTAGAATATTACAATAGTGATAAAGTGAAGGGTGGAGCTACATGGGGCGTAGCTGAGAATTTCCGATTCTTGGATTCGTTCGTCCACGCAAGGAAAGAAATAGAGAAGTTGGGGAGAGTATTAGGCTTTCGTATGCAATTTTGTGGCAATGTCAAGCCAGGAATGAAATACTTTGGTATGCATCTTCCTTTTTTGCAATGCTATGGTAAAAACTGACAGGCTCACCAGAGACTGAGTGGCGCAAGAAGCCAGATTATCAAGGCGGCTTTTTACTTGATGGTGGTGTTCATTTCACTGCGGCCGGTAGATTGCTCTTGGGTGAAGACGCAAAGCCAACTTCTGTCGTGGCATTCAGCACACTTCTTCGGGAACATCTACCACCTGTTGATACGATCAATTCCATATGGCTCACGAAGTCGGGAATATCAGGAACATTCAGCGTCTCCTTCGGCACCACTCTTTCTGGTCCCGAATATACAGTCGCTTGCGAGCATGGTAGCGTTTCTGTTATCAGAAGTAAAGTCATTGTTCGTGAGGGTGAAGAAAGCGAAAAGAACTTTACAGAGGTTGAGTTTACAGAAGAGGGCAGTGGTGTGAAGCAGGAAGTTGCTGCTTGGGCTCAGAGTATCGTAGATGGGAAGCCCAATTCTAGGCAATCTCCTCAAGAAGCTCTTGCTGACTTGGAAATCTTGGAAAAGCTGTTGCGAAGTGGTGAGGAACAAGGGAAGAGCCAGAACTTGCAATTCCAAATCTAGGGTCACAAATTCTATCCGAACATATTCACATCTCGATATGTTCGTGATACCTATTCTTTCATAAGGGCTCTCTCGGATCCTAACATTCATATAAAATTATATGCTTTATATGTCTCCGAGATATCAGATAGTGATGTTTCATTCAAACCAAACTTGGAATATCTACAATTGTAATGACAGAAATCGAAATCATTATGGGATACTCATGTAATTCTGTATGAAATCTGATTGTATTGTATTTGTCAAGGGTCAAATGTATATCTCGATCATGCACTTCTAAAGGCCAAACTCTATGCACCAAAAGTCAATTTCAACCCAAGACTTTAATGCATAATGACCGCTACGTGGTCATCCATATATGCATTAATTTCACCAAGGAAACAAGCCGCAAGAATGCTTACAGCTCCAAATGCCGTGCTAGCATAGTACACGTAAACATAGCTTTCAGCATACGCTTCTTGTCCTGCAATCACCACCATCTGATAAGCCGTTTCATTCCCTGCGATGCCTGGAATCGTCTTTAGTAATGGGAGAAGTGATGAAGCTGTGTAGTGAATAGCTTCTCCTATAAGAGTTTTGTTTGTAATATTAAGCTGTCGAGCCATAACACCTCCGATATGCAAAGTAGTAGCAGGGACAAACTTGCTCACGAAGACATTGTAGTAGATGCAATAACCTATACTACCCCCAATTACTCGAATAGAGAGAGTGAGGGCGGAAACGGTCGCGATCAAGTCATCGGGACATATTATCGTCGTTATTATCGAAGCTGGTACGACGATACCACCTATTCCTAATCCAGCGATTATAAGGAGAGCCCATAATGTTGATAGGTTGTGTCTGTTTGCGCATGCAAGTGCACCGCATCCTAAGTTACATGCATTAGCGAGATGAAATTGGAATTTCCCAAGCATCTACCCCAGCCTCGAATATTACATACCAGCTGTCATGAACACCGAGCTCACGATCATCAATTCCTTGTTTCTTCCTTTAAGAACACTCAGCAACCACAAAACAATACAAGCTCCAGCTAAAATTGCGAAGCCAACAGGTATTCCTCTAATTCCTACGCCAATAGGATCATGTCCATATACGTTGAAAGCCTGAGTAGGCCAGAACATGATGATACTAAACTAATATTTGTCAGTATCTTTGGCAAAAGGCGTTTCAAAGGTATATGAAAGCTCGAACGTACGAAATTAGCACCGGATATAAATGTTATGACAAGTGTCAAGGCCAGAATTCTCGGTGCTTGCTTCAAACGAGATGGAAACATAGGATACTTCGTTCCATATATTTCCCAACAACAGAAAATAATCAACAAGACCGCCCCCAAGATTAAAGGTACCAGAACATGCGCCGAACTCCAATCGTATTGATAGCCACCCCATTGCATACCAGCCATGAATAGAATCATTCCTGCCACACTCAAGAAACCACCCACAAAATCAATCTGTTGTATAATTTGTCGATTGGATAAACCTATCGAGTTGACTCGAGGAGGAGGGAAATAAAAAACGAGAGTCAAGGCGAAGCCGATGAATGCCCATACGCCGCATAGCAATCCGCACCAACGCCATCCGCCATGCGAAGCTATGAGTTGAGCCCACAGTACAGATGGACAGAATGGGAATATAGTGAAGACGAGAATGGCCACATATTTTCCACGTTTCGAGGTAGGTGCTAATTCGGCTGTGGCTGCTAAAGCAGTGAGTCTAGGTACTGTGAGTTTATGCTCTCTGATCGCCTTTTGTATATCAAGAACAGATACTTTCGGAAGACTTACTCGTTAATGCCCGCTCCAATACCCGCAATTGCCATTCCCCCTTTAATCTTAGTGTCAACTTAAATGCAACACAGTTTCTTCAAGCAATTTTAGGACTTACCAATGAACACATTCATAGTATGGGCGGTTGAACAAACGACCATACCGACGACAATGAAAAGAGCACCCAAAAGTGCGACATAACGGCGACCGAGGATATCAGAGAGACTTCCGACAAATGGGCATACTCCTGCCAAGGCAAGGAGGTTTGCAAGGACAAGCCATATCCACCTATATACCGTTAGAAATTCTGCAAACAATACTACACATATCTGAATCTAGCATTCGAGTACTCACCGATCGACACCCCCAATATCAGAATAAATGTAAGGTGGAATGGCACCTATACCCATGATTTCAGCTCTTACATACATACTGAAAAACACCCATAGACCTCACCGAAAATATACACAGGAATCTGCGATCCAGTCCACAAAAATGCCATTGCGACTAGACTCATAAAGCGTCGCATCGACATCTATGCCCTGTCAGTCATCTGATACACACCCTCCAGGGATAAAACATACTTCAGGTTCATGATCATGATCTTCATCGTCGCCATATGTTCGAAGCCCGTTTTTCTCATAGTAGTTATTATGACCGGGCACTTTGTCATGTGTCACGATACGCTCGACTTTCTCGGACTCCATGGCCTCGAAACTATTAGATGGAGGTGTATCGGGTGATTTACTCATGATGATCAATCCAGTGTGTTAGAATTGGTTTTTACGAGAGTATTGAATGCTCGGGAAGAAAAGACATGAGAATTGAGAATCTTCGTTGAAGAAATAGGAGAGCGGGGTAGTGGAAGATGGAAGAGTGAATGGATTTCAGATTGTGAATGGCCAATGCACTAATAAGATGAGATGAAATAGTGAAGTCCATATATACCTATCAGTTATACCTATCAATATAAATGTGTAACCTCGGGTTTCTTCACGCCAGCACAGCGTACGGAAATTACCCATTTACAATCGCAAGATCTTGGTATCCTTGGCTGCATGTAAAGTCTGGGGAAAGAGGAATAGGGTTAATTTATTATAGGTTGGAATGAATTGAACTATCTTTATTATAGGAGCTGAACCGTTCAATTGGGCTTGTGTATTTTCTAGTGACTTGAATGGGCTTGCTATGAGAAGAGGGGCTGATGAGGGGGAATATCCTGAAGCCGCGGTATGATATTGTGGTAGCACAATGATAAGCAAGGGATATGTTGTACTACAAGTACAAATGGAATTGGGATAAAGCGAGCTTCAGATGTTTTGGCACGTTATATTGGTAGAATAACATACATAAATCCTGGGGAACGAGAAATGATCAGATCGAAGCTGGAGAAAAGAAGAGCTAACAGAATTAAAGTCAATAGTACTTGACACTTCTAGCATCTCTCCCGGTACTTTCATGTAGTACAAGTCTAATTTACCCCGCATATCAACTATCAACTAACCTGGAAAAGTCGGAGATATTCCGAAAATGTGATTTCTCAAGAATGTGCGAGTAGAGATAGTATGCATAGGAAAACCTTGGTAGAGTAACTACAGGAACCACCTAGTACCACCTAGTCCATGAAAACTAAGCTAAGAAAAGGGTGATTGTCAAAGAGTAATAGACTAGCGAATAAAATAAATCACGCTGCATCATTATGTCTGCTTTAACCTTCTTTACATCTAGTCTTGAACAGCTATTCTTCGGGTTTTCAGATAAGTTGTCAGTCTACGTGATATATAACAGAAGTCTGTCCAGACTTACCGAGGGAAATGGCGAAGGTTGCAAACCACTTCGCAGATGCGATGTGAACTAAAACTTACCTCATAAGTGTTAAGACAATCTGAAACCTAAATCACAAGAACAATTAAAAAATATCACTCAAAAGAATACGTTTTGGGAGTCCATAATAGTAGACTGCCGATTGGGAACTTGGATACTGATGGCAGCGGTGCTCTCAAGTCATCTAGATTTTCTTCTTCCTTATTGCCCTCCCCACCGAAATTATCAAAACACAAATCCAAATCTCAAACTGTACTACCAGGAGGCTCCCAAGATCCAAGGTACTTGTAGATGTCTAGATGACCTATCTACAAAAAATTCTGCCCTAAGAACTCGCATTATTTACTCCTTGGCAGTAAAGATGTAAATATTATCACCTTACATCACTTCCAAAACTGCAGTTTGGTGAACGACAGAATGTGTGGAAATTGCCAACTGGGCAATTCCAAGAAAAATAAGATTCGAGGATTAGAATCTGGGACTTGAATTATAGGTAAATTGGTAGCAGTTGGGATTTTGATACCCCCGAATCTTTCAACACTCTTTAATTGCCAAATCTCAAAAAGAAAGGAAAACAATTCATCATGAAGCTTGAATGGAACTGTTTCCCACCGCTCTATCACTTCAATAGTATTAGCTATTCTTCGCTCAATCCGCCGGCAGCGCCTCCTTTTTTTCAACTTCTCTCGTCATCGGTTGAATACACTGGTTCTATACGCTTCATTATCATCTCAAGATTCCCAACTAAGAACCCAAAAGTTATTCAATCATACGATTAACATCTCCCATCTCCACAATCACTTTCCATTGGTCTCACAACTTCCGTAAGCCAACAAACAGTTGGCTCCATGCATGCACATCTTTACAGACAAAATGGCCTTGCTTCCGTTCAAATCCCCGCCTTGCAAGAGAAAGAAAAGTACATACATATACCACTGTCCTTGCACTAGAATAGTACATATTGCGAGCAAAACCACAGGTGTTGTCATAAAATCCGTCATCCCCCAAAATGGCATCTCTACCAACAATCCTCACCTCCATCCTCCTCTCAACCATCCTCCCCTACTACCTCCTCACATTTCTCTGCACCCGTCTCGCTCAAAAATCATCTCAACTTCACGGCTGCAAACCCACCCCCGTGTCCAAAGCCTCGACATATTCATCGCCATCCAAAAAGCAGACGCCGCAGGCCATCGTTCCGAAACATACCGAGCACTTCATCGACAATATGGTTCTACAGTCTTGATGAATTCGCTAGGTACCGAGCTCCAGACATCTCATGCTGAGAATATCCAAGCGATTTGCACGTCGTTTTTAATGATTGGGGTGTGGGACCCATGAGAGAAACTTTCGGACTTCCTTTTCTTGGACGGGGAATTTTTACAGGTATGTTGATTGTTGTAAAGATAGAAGAAAGTGATTGTTCAAGTCCTTAATCTTTATCTTCACGCAATTTTAGAAGATGGTGAGTTTTGGAAACAATCAAGATCACTCGTTCGATCGACTTTTAGCAGAGTCGAGATAGCAGATCTAGAGAATTTTGAACGTCACGTTACGCGGTTCCTAAATTTTATACCGAAAGATGGTTCGACCTTTGACATGCTCCCTCTTGTGAAAAAATTGGTTCGTGATTGAAAGAACAAGCTCTCTAGCATGAAGCCAATTGACTAACATTCTCACTATAGTTTCTCGACATATCAACCGAATTTCTCTCCGGCAAATCAACAGAATGTCTCGCGGAAGAAACACCCATCGAGACCGACATATTCATGAAATCTTTTGATCGAGCTCTCCTGGGTCTAGCCTTACTTCTCATATTCAAACCTATTCGATGGCCACTGTACTTCGATCCCTGGTGGAAAGAAGCATATATTAATGCCCATGGATTGGTCGACAAACGAGTATCACTAGCCCTAGAAAAACAGCGAAACCCCGAAAAAGAAACGGGACTCAAGAGATATGTTCCCCTCGAAGAAATGACAAAGATAACACAAGATCCGTATGAGCTCCGCATGCATATTATTAATGTCTTTTTTCCTGCTCGAGATACCGCTGCTATTGCTTTCACCGATGTAATATTTGAACTTGCTCGTCATCCTGAAGAATGGAAGAAATTGAAGATGGAGGTTGATAGCATCTATTCAAATCAAGCGTTGATGTTTGAATTCCTTCGCTCATTGAGAGTTACCAAAGCTATAATCAACGAGTCCTTACGCTTACATCCAGCTGCCTCGAGACTTGGTAAAATATCTCTAAGAGATACAATCTGACCTAAAGGTGGTGGGAAAGATGGTCAATCCCCAATATTCGTACCCAAGGGTACTGTGGTTGGGCTAGATCTGTACACATTACAACGAGACCCGGCAATATGGGGAGCTGATGCAGATAAATTTTAAGCCAGATCGATGGTTAGATATGAACCGGCCGCTCTGGGAAGCGAAATGGCAATATGAGCCATTCTTAGGTGGCATCAGAATGTGCCCTGCTGAGAATCAGGTTCTGATTCAATTGTCATATCTCTTGGTTAGGTTTACACAGCAGATTGAATTCGTCGAGAATAGGGACGAGGTTTTTTAATATCTCGAAGGAGTTACTATGACCGTGGAAAGTAAGAACGGGGATAAAATTGTTGTTAGACATGTCGATTGATTCAGAATGCTTCAAAATATATCAATCAGTCTAGACCAATAGACCATACTTGAAACCCTTTAATTTCAAAAAGGTATTCTTGACACGCTTGCATTCGAATGGCCAGAGCAAATCACTGGTGTAAATCGTAACGCGCGCCAACAAGACGGGTCTAAATGTATAAAGATAGGGGGGTTCCATTACTTGAGGCGATCCGACTTTAATTACCAAGGAAAGCAATTTGGCTCCCTACACGCAGCTAAACGAAAATCCGGAGAAAGTCCGACCAAGTGTACCCGAAGAAAGAAATCCTTGAAAAGGGGTGGGAGATGGGTAACAATGTCCGAAACATATCCCATTGTGTTTTGCTGGAACTTATCGCTGGGATCTTCGCGCAGAGATTTTGACGCGCGGAGGTCCAATGAATTGATAGTTTGAAAATGAAACTATATTGCAGTGTCTATCTATTGCTACCAAGATCTAATTTTTCATCTTTAGGGTTATACAAAGGTACTGGCAAAAGGTAGAAACAAAACCTGTAATCTATTTTGTGATCATATTATCTCTCGATGGGCCTGTAATTTTGATGTTAGCGATCCGGTATGATTAAATAACAATTGAAGAAAACACTCACCGACTCCAATGAACTTGATTGGAACGCCAACTTCTTTCTCAATGAACTCGCAGTATTTGCGACACGCAGGTGGAAGATCATAGTAGCTACGGCAACCAGTGGTAGGTTGATTCCAACCTGGTAATGTGACATACTGTGGTTCGAGTGTCTCCAGTCTTTCGAGATCAGCAGGGAATGACTCTAAAGTTTCGCCAGTTGCGGGATCGCGATATGAGACGGCAACCTTGATTTCTTTGAATGAATCAAGAATATCGAGTTTCGTGAGATTGATGGCGGTGTAACTGTTGATAGCGGTCGAGTATTTGACAACTACTAGATCCAACCATCCACATCTTCTTCGACGACCAGTCGTCACACCAAACTCTCTGCCAACTTCTTGCAATGTTGTACCGACTTCTCCTAGATCTTCTGTTGGGAATGGGCCACCGCCCACACGTGTAGTATAGGCTTTGACCACTCCATAGATATTCTTGACCTTTCTTGGGTTCAATCCACTGAGACCGGTGAAAATACCACCGAGACCTGTGTTTGAGCTCGTGACGAATGGATATGTACCGGCATCAATGTCCAACATAATAGCATTTGCGCCTTCAATCAGCATAGGTGCGTCGGATTTCTGTGCATCGATGAGGAGGGGGAGTTGGTCAACAACCATATCTGCCAATTCAGCTCTGTAGGTCTAAGAAATGTTAAACAAGAACTCATTTAATCAAAATCACCAACTTACCTTGAATCGAGCAAGTTCCTCCTCGACATCATACTGCAACAAGTCCCCAAATCTCTTCTTGGCGCCAGACGCCATGCTTCGAACTTTTTCCTCGAAATAACTCTCCCGGAAGATATCGGCAACTCTGACACCGCTTCGTGCCATTTTTGTTGAATAACATGGACCGATCCCTTTAGCTCGTTAGAAAAGGGGGTCTCCTAAATAAGCCGAAAAGAAGATTACCTTTTCCGGTAGTACCTATTTTACCTCCTCCAAGTTCGGCTTCTTCGAGTCCATCTAATTTCTGATGGAGATCAAGAACGACACTGTAGCTCATTGTCAGATATGCTCAGTTGTACCGGAAATTGCAAAACCTACTGGCATCGGTCACTGATCAATAATCTCTCTCTAGGTGGCTTTTTGCCTGCTGGAACTGGAATCTTGCCATCAATGGCGGCGAGTTCTTTAAGAAGTCCAGGAATGTGGACTACGCATCCACTTCCTACCAGATTCTGGCAGTCGGGGTTGAGGAGACCACTAGGTAAAATGTGAAAGTCGCTGTTCGATATTGTATCAGTCGAATGTCCGAAATTACTATAAACTTTGAGAGTCGCTTCTCATGGAGACTCACTATGTCACACCATTGGCCACAATTGTATGTCTGTCATTGTAAGTTAGATGATTCCCCAGTTTCTTTCATCGCGTTTATTTACCCTGCGTTGTTTCCGCCCTATATATCATCGCATATTAGACACATATTTCTCGGGGATTCGCCATAGAATCAAGGGATAGAATTACCTGTGCACGACAGCACAATCTCAACTCCTCACTGCAGAGGACGTCGACAAGTTTCCCCTAATCCACCCTCAGTTAAATTCCCAAATATGGATCCTCCCAGCCCAATGTGCCATACCTTTCCTTCATCGCCCTACACTCGCACGTTAATATTTGATGTCCGCAGATCTTCGCAGAAAACACGTACCCATTGAGCACCAAGAACAACTGTCGCCATCTTGAAATTCGTTTATTCTATTGATTTTGATAGTCTGATGATAGAATTCGTCACAATCGTGTCGAAGTCGGAATATTGGATCAATTGGTGAGAGCAACAAGTAAATATTCGTTTTCTAGAGATGAATTTGTATGCCTGTGATCTGTCAGAAACCTTTCCCGCACTGTATGTGTTAAGTGATGTGGAGACGGAACGCACCTTAAGGGAACAGAAATTGATTGATGTGGGATGGTGGGGGTTTTATATCACTATTGTAGCACTAAATTGGCGGGGCATTTTTTTTTACAGCGTGTGACGTTGAGTCATTGTGAAATCACGTGAAATGAAGCAATTCATCTTTCACGTCTTTCATTCGCATGTGTTGAAGGATGATAACCTTACACCCATTGATTACCTAGGTATAGATTAGATTCAAGTAACAAGATATCTCAAACATGGAGATACCATACACAAAAGTATGTGCTTCGTGCGTTCATTGTAGTTGTCAACCTGATATCCATATTTCGTTTGCACCGTACATTCATTGTATAAAACAAGCCAATGAAGAGGGGCGCATTGCATGAGACTATTTAGGTTTAACTTTTTGGCAACTGGGAGATTACATTACAACAGGCTGATTTCGAAGATCATTACAAAATCCTTTTATTTGTTGAGAATACATCGTAATATCATACCTAAGTGGATTGTTTATTACCTGTTACTTTTTAAACAGCTTGTGATCTCTCTAACACGCCATTCTCTCATAGATTATCCATATCATACCTTCATCATGTCTCACTCTCACGAAGGAGGTCCATCCCACTCTCACGATCATCCAGCTGGTGACCATGGCCATACTCATGAGATTCTCGATGGACCTGGTAGTTACATGGGAAGAGAAATGCCAATTATAGAGGGCAGAAATTGGTCCGAGAGAGCTTTTACCGTTGGTATTGGAGGGTACGTGTTCCTGTGTCCCATTCGTGAAACTGCTTCGTCCAAATACCCCTCCATGACCTAGTCTAGTAAATGAGTCACGTGCCTGTCCTCACAAATTTGTTGTCAAGTGTCTCAATTATGGATATCCCCTTGTTCTTTTCGGGTAGTCGGCACTCGAGGAGGCATTGTGAGTAATAATGCATTTGCTAACAATGGTTCAGACCTGTAGGTTCCGGCAAAACAGCATTGATGTTAGCACTCTGCAATGCTCTCAGAGAAAAATACTCAATCGCAGCCGTTACAAATGATATCTTTACCCGAGAGGACGCTGAGTTCCTCACCAAGCATAAAGCCCTGCCTGCGTCTCGTATCCGTGCGATCGAAACCGGTGGATGTCCTCATGCAGCTGTACGTGAAGATATCTCGGCCAACCTCGCTGCTCTTGAAGATTTGCACCGTGAATTCACTTCCGACATATTACTCATCGAGTCGGGAGGTGATAACCTAGCCGCTAATTACTCCAGAGAATTGGCGGATTACATCATCTACGTCATTGATGTCAGTGGAGGTGACAAGATTCCCAGAAAAGGAGGCCCAGGAATCACTCAGAGCGATCTTTTGGTGGTGAACAAGACAGATTTGGCTGAAGCTGTTGGTGCGGATTTAGATGTTATGGATAGGGATGCGAGAAAGATGAGAGAGGGAGGCCCGACTGTCTTTGCTCAGGTCAAAGGAGGAGTCGGAATGGAACATATTATTGGTTTAATCGAGAGCGCATGGAAGGGTAGTGGGGCGGAGAGAGTCAGCAAAGAAAGAGGCGGCCCAAAACCCACGGAGGGTTTGGAGCAACTAAAGTAATCAGGGCTACATGCACTCTGGACGAAGACGAGAAATCTCATCCGGCTAAATTTAGACGTAGATTTTCATTTGGAATGGAAGATCGATCCCTTGTAGTGGTCGCATAGATTCTCATTATTTAACAGCCAAACCACTCCACGCTCTACTACAAGTAGTACGCGACGCCTCGATAATACCTTCAAACGCCAGGCGCCACAGAGTTCTTTTCCCAATCCCTACACTATGCCTTAAAGCGCCTTGCATAGTGTGTGACATCAACAATAATGCACCAAATTATTTAAGTACTTTTCTTTGCGAAGCGACCGAGTGCTGGTCCAAGTTCCTCCTCGGTAGATTTCAGCCTGTTCTTCTCCCTTTGCATCTGACTCTTTCTCAATTCTTCAATTCTGTCCCTCTGATCATCTATAATACCTCTGGAACTCTTCTTTCGTAGGTACTTTCTCAAACTACTGTTCTTACCTCTGCCCCTGTTCTTAATTTTAGCCATTGGATCTTCAGGCTTCTTGTCTAGATC